ATACTCTATGATGATAGTTTCAATTACTTTAAAACAAAAGAAGATTTTGTTCATATGATAATGGTTTCAAAAAAATACCAAGAATTACCATCAATGTTTCATTATAATCCAATACCTTTAAACAACTCAACAATCTCCTTATTTCCAAAAATTGAAACATTATATTTATATAATTTTACTGATACTATTTATCCAAATTATAAAAATTATTTATTTAATTATAATATGACTTCTTCTAAAGCAATAGAATTAAAAAATTCATTCCCAAATTCACAATTTAAACATGTTGAACATAATATTTTTTCATACCCAATTCCTGATATTGTTACTGACGTTAAAGTAACTGATAAGTTGTTTAATTATTATGGTCTTTCAATTACATTACCACTTCATTTTAAACAATTTTCTTTTAATTTAACTGCCAAACATAGTTCATTTATTTCTTTGGAGTTTAAAATGAAAACTAAACCAATTATTTATTCTCCTGTTCCCATTTGGTTTAAAGGTTATTTGACTGATTCTGGTATTAAATGTCCAAATATTTGGCTTGATAAATTCTCTTTAAATAATTATGATGACTTGTCCCAAACTGTCTCTATCTATCCATTAACTTTTAGTTCTATTTCTTATCCTCCTACTCTTAACTTCTCTACTTCTTTAACTTCATTAGAAAAATGTGCTTTTGCTAATTGCTCTTCATTAACTACTCTTAAAATTCCTTCTTCTATACTTTCAATTGGAGATAGATGTTTCTATAACTGCACTCAACTTAAATTAATTTCTCTTTCTTCTTCAGTAATTTCATTAGGAAGACTCTGTTTCGCTTGTTGTTGTTCTTTGTCTGAAGTCAATATCCCTCATGACATTCACTCAATTTATGAAGGTACTTTTTATAATTGTGTGAGTCTTAGAAATTTAAATCTACCTGATTCTTTAAGAGTAATAGAGACTAATGCATTTAGACAATGCACAAATTTAACAATTTTATTACCAAAATCAGTTAAATATTTTGCCCCTAATGCTTTTGAAGGTTGTGCTGAAGTATTGACTCAAGAATAAAATGATAAAATGATTTTAAATCTTCTCCTTATCAATTGGTTCTTTCTAATTACTTTTGTTGTTCTTTTTTTGACTGTTAATAAAAACTTAAAAATCAAAAATAAAAAAGAAAATCTTAAAATAAATTTATAATATTTTGATGAAAGGAATAACCATTCTTTTATTTATAGTATTATGTTCTGCAGATTTAAATGTATTAACTCGTGAAGATATGGTCAAAAAACAAAAGGAAAATGCTGCTAAAAAAATATTAAAAAGTGAAGAAAAGATTAGAAAGACTAAAGAACAAATTGAAAAGAAAAAAAGAAAGAGCAAAAAAATTGTAGAAAATGCACTTTCTTTACTCACTGAAAAAGAAAGATTATCAGTTCGTGATATTATTGATTCTGACCCAGAATATATTAGATTTAATTCAAACGAAAAGTTGTCTAGATTTGACAAGAAATTTAACTCAAAGAAGGTATGTACTTCAATCGAAACATTAGTCAAACCAGAGTTGAATAATGTTAATTCTACTAATAGAACACAACCAAATTCAACACAACCAATACAACAAAAGAAACAATTAAAAAAATGTCAAATGAAACATGTTAAACATATTCCAAGAAATAAATGTAATTGGAAAAAAGATAAATACGTTTATAAGCAACCAAAACAAAAATACTATGCTCTTGTTGATAATGAAAAACAAAGAATTCTTTGTCCACTCCCAAAAGAAAAGTGCCATCCTAGAATCATTAAAATTGATGTCAATAAAGAAACTGAAAATGCTAAACATGCAATTAAATTGATTCATAAAGCTGGAAAATTGTTAAAAGAAAATGACATGTTCTAATTCTTTTTTTTTTAATTGAATAATATTCGTTTATTAAATCATAGGGGATTTTATTCTACTTTATTGATATGGCTTTCTTGGAAAGTGTTAAAAAAAGTAATCTTTTTTAGAACATCAAAAAAAGCTAATCAAAGATACTTCAGTAAATGGAAGAAAGTAGAGAAGATGACAATGTTGTGTTTTCATCCCCATTGATCCTTGATAATATTGGACTATTAGAAAATGGAGATGGAACTTTTACTTATAGAGAGTTATTACTCAATTTATGTATTAAAGAAGAAAAGTATTATGGATTAATACCTTTTAATAACTGCTGGCCAGCAAAGTTATTTGTTCAAAAAATTTTTACTGCTTGCAATCGTTTAGAATTGAGTCCTGTTACAATTCATACTGCAGTAACGTTTGTTCGGTATTATAAATAATATATCTTTAAAAGATCAAAAAGGTACAAGAAGTAACAAGAATTTATTTATTATAGAATATTAAAACGATTGTGTGTAGTTAATTCTTCATACGTTCAAAAACAAAATCCAGAGATTATATGTTTTATATGTATCAGCTTAGCAAGTAAAATATATGAGAAAAGAAGAAGATGGATCAAAGAAATTTATTATGACACTTCATTGGTTTGTTCAAAAAGAGAATTTAGTATCAAAGAAATGGAAGTATTAAAAATGTTAAACTATTATATAGACCCTCCAGTACCAATCCAATACGTTAATCTTTTTCTTGAAGTATATTTCAATAAAAATCAAAAACTCAGTAAAATTGCTACTGATGTTTGTCACTTGCTATATAACTCTCCTGAAATGCTTATAGCAAATCATTCTTCATTAATATGTGGAATAGTTGTATTGTGTGTGTCACAATCAATCTTAGATGGTGGTGCTTCAGGCATTATGTTATCTTGGGCTAAAACATTTGTTTCTACTTTAGACGAGATCTGTGAGCTATCTAACCAAGTATTAAAATGTATTTTTAAAGGAGAACTTTTAAGTGAATTTGAATTTCACCCTTAAGACTATCAATTAATTAAAATAATGCTAAATTATTTGTAACTTGTTATTTAAAAAAAAATTGTGATATTATCCATTAAAAGATATTTTCTTTTTATTGTCTATTTTTTAATAAAAATTCAAGTTGTTTGATTGTCACTTTATTGCACAATGTCTTTAAGGATTGTTATTTTATGCGTTAATCAAATAAAAAAATTTTGTCATATATAATGCATATATTTTTTTTCAATTCTCTGAAAATAATAAATATTTTTAATATCTTTAAAGTATAGATTAATCTTTGTATTAGGAAGCTTTAGTGTTTTTGGTTCAAACAATTACTCTTTATTATATATTTTATATTTTATTATTTATTCAAATTAACACTAATTTTTTTATACAAATATTTTTCTTTTTTTCTTTTTTATTGACGCGGTCACTCTAATTAAGCTTTTTTCTTAGCAACAAAGGAAATTATCAATACAAATTTGATTTCAAATAACTAATAGTCAAATGATTAAATTTTGTATGTGTATTTAATACTTCTTGCTCTATTCAATAGTATTTATCTTCTTTTTATTGAAAATGTTTTATAAAAAAATTATTTAATAAAGTAATTACTAAATTTGGAGGAATAACTGCTAATACAAAACCCAGTTTATGAAAAGAAATTATCACAAGAAAACCAAGGCATATAAAATTATTATTTTGAACAAAATAAAAAGTAGAATAAAAGAACAATAAATGACAAATAAAAACAAAAAATAAATGAATAAAACAGAATTAAAAACTAAAAAATGAAATAGTAAATATAATAGAAAAATTATTATAATAAAAAAGTAAAGAATGAAGTATAATAAAAATAAAATGAAAAAAACGTCAATAATGAGGTATAAAAAGAAGAAGAACTGAAAGAACAACAGAACGATGCAAATATTTGTTAAGACTCTCACTGGAAAGACCATCACATTGGAAGTAGAACCAAATGATTCTATTGATGCTATTAAGGCTAAGATTCAAGAAAAAGAAGGAATTCCACCAGATCAACAAAGACTTATTTTTGCAGGAAAACAATTAGAAGAAGGAAAGACCCTTTCAGATTATAACATCCAAAAAGAATCAACACTTCATTTAGTCTTAAGATTAAGAGGAGGATATTAAAATAAATTGAATCATTAGATCATCTTATTTTGTTCATTTTATAATACAACAACTTATAATTTGTTAAATGTATTATGACCTCAAAAGAATTTGTTCAAATCTATTGAAATAAGTTAATGTTTTTATATGTTAAAATTATAAGTTCCATAACAAAAATATTATAAACAATTCAGATAATAAAAACATAAAGTAATATAACTATTATAGAAAAATATTAAATATGTAAGTCTTCACTTTATTTTTTATGTTTTTATATTCGTTCAACGTACTTATTTTGTTGGGAAATAACTTACTCAATTTTTGAAAACAAAAGCTTTAATTAAATTACAACAAGTTATTATCGAATTTACTTTCACCAATAAGTGTCGATAAGTATTCATTACTTTAGTATAAAATAAAAAGACACTATCCTAAACAATTTTAATTGATAAAATTAATTTAGATATAATAAATGACAAAAGAAAGGAATTAAAAGAATGAGGATGAAAATGGATTAGATGAAATGATAAGACGAAATGATATAAAATGTAAACTGATAATAAAAAAGAATGGAA